GTGGGCCGGGCACCTGCAGGTGGGCCGGGAGGGCCTGGGCCGCCTGCGGCGTCCCTCGTTGAGCGAACCCTCGTTAGTTCTCGCGGGAGTGAGGCCTGAAGGTGGTGGAAGGACCCTCAGTAACGCGTTTCCGAGGCGAACGCTCCGGGGTCTCAGGGAGGTAATAATACATATGAGTTCTCTCTGGAGCAGTGTTGTTGTTGTTTTTTTAAATTAGTTTTTAAATCACAGTTGACAAACGATACTATATTAGTTGGAGGTGTACAGCACCGTGATTAGACATTTATAGAGAACAGTGTTTTTCCTGTTCCCTCTTTTCTCGTCTTCCCCGTAAGACACTGTCTTTGGTTTGTCTGGCAAATTACACTTCAATTTCCTTGCCAGTCTGTCTTTTCCACTCGGTTTCTTATAAAATTGCGGCATTAAGATATTTAAAATAGAGGCATAAGTGCTCCCTGGAAAAGTAGCATTGTGGTGTTTCTGTATTAAAAAGTGTTAAAAATGTGAAGGAGCCTGTTCCCTCCGGCCGCTGTAAGTTTGATGAAGCTGAACTTCCGTCCAAAGAAACTGCAGGTGGTAAACACTGATTTCCACAGAGGGGACGCCGCTGGCTGTTGGTCACCTCCTTACAGTGAAAAAGTGCTGAGAAATTCAGTGATTCTGTCGCTAGTTCCTCGAGGGCTCCCCACCCCAAATAAATTAATCTTCGGTAATGTATCTGTAGGAACTTTATTCCAATCGAGACGGAAATCTGTGGGTATCTGTTTGTTAAGAGTTCCTGGTTGCATTTCTTTTGTTTTTAATCTTGTAACTTTTAAGTATTCTCCTGAAGTTGCGTTATTTAAGTTGTAAACTCTTTTTTTGTCTATAGGCGGGGCCAGTAATAAAAGTGAAAATTCCAAAAGATAAGGATGGTAAACCCAAGCAGTTTGCATTTGTGAATTTCAAACATGAAGTGTCTGTTCCTTATGCAATGAATCTACTTAATGGAATAAAACTTTTTGGAAGGCCCATCAAAATTCAGTTTAGATCAGGTAACTCACTATTCAGTTGCAGCACGAAGATATTTAAATCGGTGTTGTTTGGGGAGAGGGATTATTTGCTGCTTTGGCTTTTTGTTTTTAATTTTATTCAGTTTTAAAAAACATTTATGGATGAAAATACTTTAAGCTTTGTGGGTAACACTGACAACATGGATTTTCAAAGTTGTAATTTAAGAACTTAGTTTAAAATTTCAGCTTGGGTTAGTTAACAGAACATAAACTTTATTGTTAGAAAGACTTGGGTCTTGGGTCCATGCTCTGAAAGAAACAAGAATTATTTTCTGAAATGCTTTTTTGTTGTTAATCCTCACTAGAGGATATTTTTTCCAATGCTTTTCAGAGAGAGAGTGGAAGGAAGGAAGGGAGGGGTGGGGGAGAGAAAAACAGTCATGTGAGAGACACATCTATTGGTTGCCTCTCTAACAAGCCCCAGTAGGGGCTCAGGAATCGAACCCGGGTCCACGTCCTTGACCCATTGCCCCATGGGCGACACTCAAACCACGGAGCACACCCGCCAGGTGAAAATACTTTTCCTGGTTGCTTTGTAATTTACTTTTATAAGTTTTGATTCTTGATCATGTAGGAATGAAACTTTGCATGTGTCCAGTCTTACAATTTAGTGTGAGGATCAGAATATTATGATAGAGAATATCCAGAGTGGATATTTATACACCAGATATTCCCTCATTTGGGACCATTTGTTTTGGATATGTCTGCTAATGAACATTTAGAATTTTCACTCTGATGAAACTCTAAAGCAGTCTGTTAAAATTTGAGGCTTTTAGCTTATGTCTACCTTTTTGGAGTGATTTGGGGTGGGAGAGACAAAAATTCCAATTAAATTTTCTATCAAGAAGAATTTCTCAAATTATTTTATTTTAGGAAGTAGCCATGCCTCACAGGATGTTAGTTTGTCATATTCCCAGCATCATGTTGGAAATTCAAGCCCTACCTCCACATCTCCTAACAGGTAATATTTCTCACCTATTGTTAAAGCCTTTATCAGGAATTTTCTTAGGTCGTGATCTCAGAATGCATGTTTGGTTTTCTTTCTAATGCTCCTATCTCTTTATTGTGCTATATTATTTGCTATGTTGGATTATAGTTATTTATATATCTATTCTAAGGGGACTGTAGATATATAAATTATATATAATACCCTTAAAACAGATACATATATATATATAAATATATATAACTATATTTATGTTCCCTGTAAAGACATACCCACACCCAAATATACATCTATATAACAAAATTTCTCAAAATATTACTTACACTTACTAGCGATGTACTCAATTTACATTTTACTTTATCTTTTAAAATTTAAATTAGTTTATACCACTAATTGGTTACTTGCAGTTTAAAAATACGTGTCAGTAAATAGGCTGTTGGACTAAGAGTTCATGGAGTTGGATTCTAGGTCTGCCTCTACGAATTGTGTAATCTTGACCAGGCTCATTTTTCTGCTCCTATCCTTCCATTTGTAAGGAAAAGAAGTTGAATTAAATGATCTCTAAAATGCCTTCCAGCTCCTGGGGGTTAGGAAAGGTATCATATTTATATTTACTTAAATAATTTTATTTGCTTTGGGGAGGCAGAAATTTTACCAGGGACAGTTTTTTCACTGGTATATCCATAGAGCTATTTATCAATCATATGGGCTTTATTCAAGAAAGAGTTAACAAATACCCTTCATGTGTCATATTCTTTACCAAGTTTTTTGCATTTATTATCTCCTTTATGTTTCACAGTAGTTTTATGAAGTCGGGATTTTTATTATCTCTTCCTTATATATGAAGAAAATGAGGATTGGAGGTTAACTTGTTTAAGTCTGAACTGCTCTTAAATTGTGGGCTGGGAGTCAAGCCCAGGCAGTATGATCAAGCCCAGCCACTATGATGTGCTGCCTAGTGGAGCTAAAGTCTAGATCAGGGGTGGGCAAACTTTTTGACTCAAGGGCCACAATGGGTTCTTAAACTGGACCGGGGGGCCGGAACAAAAGCATGGATGGAGTGTTTGTGTGAACTAATATAAATTCAAAGTAAACATCATTACATAAAAGGGTATGGTCTTTTTTTTTTTAGTTTTATTCATTTCAAACGGGCCGGATCCGGCCCGCGGGCCATAGTTTGCCCACGGCTGGTCTAGATGAAGACACATAATATATGTATTTTGTGACTACCCATTTAATTACTCATAATTAGTTCTCTAAAAAAGGAGTAGAGCCCTGTCTGGTTTGGCTCAGTGGATAGAGTGTCGGCCTGCGGACTGAAAGGTCCCAGGTTCGATTCCAGTCAAGGGCATGTACCTTGGTTGCGGGCACATCCCCAGTCGGGGGTGTGCAGGAGGCAGCTGATCGATGTTTCTCTCTCATCGATATTTCTAACTCTATCCCTCTCCCTTCCTCTCTGTAAAAAAATCAATAAAATATATATATTTTTAAAAAGGAGTAAAAGTGCTTGGAGAAAGTTGTAACAAGGGAAGATGATATAAATGACTGAGGACCTGAAAGAGGACAATGTACTTAGATCTAATGAGTGAAAAATGGAGAGTAGATGATATTAGAGAAGTACATAGAGGCTCGATGATACAGTCTTTCTTATAACCTATAATTTGGATTTTGTGATTTTTACCTTAAAAACCATAGGAAGACGTTGAAATGTTTTTTGTAGGATAGTAATAGGAATAGGTTTTTTAAATTTTATTTTAGATTTCTATTTTATTTTTTATTTTATTTATTTTTTACAGAGAGGAAGGTAGAGGGATAGAGAGTTAGCAACATCAATGAGAGAGAAACATCGATCAGCTGCCTCCTGCACACTCCCCACTGGGGATGTGCCCGCAACCAAGGTACATGTCCTTGACCGGAATCGAACCTGGGACCCTTGAGTCCACAGGCTGATGCTCTATCCACTGAGCCAAACCGGTTAGGGCATAAATTTCTATTTTAAAGAGTTGTTTGGTTGCAATGGGAAAATGGATTGGAGGGACAGGGGTGAAAATAGACCAATTAAAAAGCTATTGGTAGCAAGATAGGGAAGTTCTTGGGGCGAGGTTGGTTTGGATTAGAGTAGTGCCAAGAGCTGGAGAGAAATGGATAGATATGAAAAGATACTGGAAGAGGAACTTGTAAGAAAATAGCAGTGTAAAAAAGGTACCCTCTTTGTGTCCTTTCTTGCCTGCTGAAGTTGTCTTTAGATACTTCTCAATACAGTTGGAATTCAAAACATCTCTGCCCACTTTTAGAACCTTCAAAGGTATTTTAGGTGGAGAAAAAAAGAGCTTTTATCCTCCTTAGAATTTGTTGGGGGGGGGGGCGTGGAGAGATATCTAAGTACTTTACTTTTTATCAAAGTCTAGAGTGTACATTATTTTTATATTGTTATAAATGAAATTATACACTTCACCCACTTGGCATACAGATATATAACTGATTTAAGAAAAATCAAAAAGATCTAAACTATAAGACAAATAAGTTGGTGGTTTGATTCCAAAGACATGTTTTAAAATACAGTTAATCTAAGTGAGATTTTCTGTAGAGCAAGTTATTTCTTCAGGAAGTGAGGGATAAAGTATAAGCCCTTAAAATTCTTACCCCCCAAAACCTGTTGCTCTCTCCTGTCTCAGTCTGTCCACTTAATTGCTTAAATACCTAGATTTTTATTTTCTTCTGTTTCCCCCATCTGTCATATCTAATTGATCAAACCTGTTTCTTTTTTTGTTGTTGTTAATCCTCACCTGAGGATTTCTTTTTGCATTGCAGGGGTGAGGAGAGAGAGAGAGAAACATCAGTGTGAGAGAGACACATCAATTGGTTGCCTCCAACATGCACCCTGACCAGTGCTGGGGATCAAACCATACCTTTCAGTTTGCAGGCTGGTGTTCTAACCACTGACCCACACTGGCCAGGGCACCATCAGATCTTTTACATTTTAGTTCTTCATCTAGGCCCGTGGCCGGCAAACTGTGGCTCATGAGCCACATGCGGCTCTTTGGCCCCTTGAGTGTGGCTCTTCCACAAAATACCATGTGCGGGCGTGCACGTACAGTGTGATTGAAACTTCGTGGCCCGTGCGCAGAAGTCAGTTTTCAGCCTGGGCGAGTCTATTTTAAAGAAGTACTGTTGATATTTGGCTCTGTTGACTAATGAGTTTGCCGACCACTGATCTAGGCCTTTCCACTAATCCAGGGATTGATAATTTTTTTTTTCTATAAAGGAGCAGATAATTAATATTTTAGACTTTGCAGGTCATACAGTTTCTTGCTCTGCCATTGTAGCATTACATAGGTAATACAAAAACAAAAGAGCGTGGTTATGTTCTAATAAAACTGTTTACAAAAAATGATTTGGTCATGGGCTATAGTTTGCTGACACCTTACTACTCCTTCCCTCAGCTGGAATGTTTTTCTCCCAGGTAACCTTGTTATTCAGCTCTCACTTCAACTGTCTATTTACAAAGGCTATCCCTGACAAGATAAGCAAAAATAGAATCCTCTCTCTCTCACCTCTACTTTCTCTTTAGTCATTCAGCGTATCACTTACAACTATGTGATGCTGTCTTATTGTCTGAATCCTTACCCCAGCTACATGAGAGCAAATAACCTTGTCTTGTTCATTCCTTTGAGAGCTGTGTTTGCTCATGATTGGTATGTAGTAAATTCTTGTTGAATGAATGATTATATGTTGTTTTCTTATTTTTTGCAGACATGAAAGGACTGTGGATAACATGACTCCATCACCACAGATAATTCAGAGATCTTTCTCTTCTCCAGAAAATTTTCAGAAACAAGCAGTGGTAGGCTGATTTTTCACCTTGTTACTTAAAAAAACAAAACAAAACAAAATACTTAAAATGTTCAGATAATTCTTTTTTTAAATGAATTTATTGGGGTGACATCCTATCTAATAAAAGAGAAACATGGTAATTAGCGTACGACCGCTACCCTTCCCATTGGCTAATCAGGGTGATATGCAAATTAACTGCCAGCCAAGATGGCGGCCAGCAGCCAGGCAGCTGGAAGCGAACATGAGGCTTGCTTGCTTCAGTGAAGGAGGACTCCAAC